GCTCCCCGACACCCACGAGCCCGCCGACGACGTCGTCGCCGGACCCGGCATCGGCCTCGACGAGCACCCGCTGCGTCGTTGAGAGAGCGGCGGGCCCCGCCCCTTTTGGCCCCCCCGCCGCCCGCACTCCCAACCTGTTCGGTGGATGAAGAGTCGAGGAACCGCACCCACGGAGGATCAGCAGAAAGATATGTAGACTTGTAGCCATACCCCCCCTTTCCTTCGCCCCGCCTTGCCCTCCTTGCCTCTCCCCTGCACCAACCTGCCTCTGCTTGCTCTGCCTCGGCCTGGTCCCACCGGTCTCTGCGCCACCGCCCTTGCCGAGTCTGGACCGTGGAATCTTGCCAGCCTGCTTTGCACCCTGCCCTACCCACTTGCACGTCTGCTCGCCCACACACTCCTCTTTTCAGCGTGCGCGCCATCGTCGTCCACCTCCTCCTCACCCTCCTCACCTTCGTTTTCTCCGCCCCCTCTCCCCTCTCCCCTCTCCCCTCTCCCCCCTTCCCGCCCCGCCCTCTATATACACCCATATATCCACCCGTCTTGTTCTCTTGCCGGAAATGCCCACATCTTCTCACTGCATGCACAGCGAACAAGAAGAGAGGCCAGTGGCCATCAGGTCGACCGCCGACCTGCCCGCTGCCAGCTGCCAGCTGCCGAAAAGCCAAAAAGTGATCTCTCCCAGGCTCGAACTGAGGACCTCCTCCGATTAACGTCCCGCACAGTCGAGCTGTACATGGCTTGTTAAGGAGACGCGCTGACCAACTGCGCCAAGAAACCCGCTGTGACCGACAGGTGAAATGTTGTGTATACAATAACTAAATCTCAGTGTGGACCCAAATGCACTCCCTTCGCCGGGGAGGACGGGCCAGAGTGGCCCTGCGCAGGGCGAAGGGGGCGACGGACGTCGTTTCAGTGGACCATGGCGGGCGAAGCAGGGCCTTCCGCAGGGGTGGAACGAGAGGCCAGAGGTGACGACGTGTGCGGGCGGAAGGGCGGCCGCGTCAGCCTAGCCTGGCTGGGCTGGCCTGGCTGGCTGTCCCTTCCAGCAGGGCCTCGAAACTCGTTTGAAAGCCACAAGCAAGAAGAAGCAAGGCTAAGGACGGAGAGGGTTTGGCTGGACGGGGGGCGGGCCTGGTCGACAAAGAACCGAGATAGAGGTGGCGCGTGCGGGCCAGGCTGGCAGGGCAGGCTGGCAGGGCAGGCTGGCTAACGTAGGCTAGGCGAGGGGGGGGGAGCAAACTCTTGCTCGCTGCTCTCTCTGCTGGGGCGGGCGAGGCTGACGCAAAGCTGTCCGCCCGCCCGCCAGGCTGGAGGGCCAGCGAGCTCGACTTGGCTGGCTGGCTGGCTGGCTGGCTGGCGGGCTGGCGGGCTGGCGGGCTGGCCGACGCCCAGCAGGCCGGCCGTTTTTGAAATCGCACCCGCCCGCTCGCTCACAGGCCCGCAGGCCCGCAGGCCGGCCGCCTTCCGATCTAGCTCGCTATCGCGCCTCGTCGCCGCCCTCGCCAACCACCATCATTCTAACGACGCCACGCCACGCAACCAACGGCTACCATCGCAGCAGCGCAACGCTCTTCGCCGCAACCTACCGCAACCTCTCGCCGCGCGACGACAAAGATAACGCCGACGACGACAACGCGCAGCAACAGCACGCAAGCAACACCCACGCCGCGAACCTCGCTAGCGTAGCATTCACGCACCCTCGGCGCCGCTCGCACCCTCCACCCCCCAACTCGCCGCCCAACATGTTCATCATCAACTGGTTCTGGGTAAGTTGCGCGCACGCCCGACGCTGCCTGCGCTGGGTGGGCTGAGCCGGCCATGGACCTCTTGCGGCGCGGTGGCGAGGCACGTCCTAGCGATGGCGGGGTGCGATGCGATGGTCTTCGCCTGCGGCCATCCGACGAGCCTTTGGCCCACATGAGCACCAGCTGATCAACGAGGCTCTCCTTCGTCTTCTCGCTCAATTTGCGTCGCTTCCCGATCCTTCCCGCACGGCTTCTGCAGGACGTTCTCGCCCAGCTCGGCCTGGCGCACAAGAACGCCAAGATCCTCTTCCTCGGCCTCGACAACGCCGGCAAAACGGTGAGCACACGCTCCTGATGCCGCCACCGTGGCGTTGCAAGTCGATGGTACCGCACTGGCTGACCCCGCTCCTCCTCCTCGCACGTGTATGCACGCCTTCCCCCCGCCACAGACCCTGCTGCACATGCTGAAGAATGACCGCCTCGCCACGTTGCAGCCCACCCTCCACCCGAGTGAGTTGCCGACGAGCCCGGCTCAGCTGCGGCGTAGGTTCGTGCGCATGCAGACAGACTGACTGACGGCGCCCGACTCGCGGTCTCCTTTGCCCCTCCTGCTCTTTCCCCGCTTTCAGCCTCCGAGGAGCTTGCGATCGGCTCGGTCAAGTTCACCACCTACGATCTCGGCGGTCACCAGCAGGGTGAGTGTTTGGTGCAGAGCTGGCGACGGCGTTTTGTTGTCTGTCAAGGCCTTTCAGCTGAAACCCGCCGCTCTTTTCAATCTTCTCGGCCGCGTCCTGGTGCCGTCCACCTTTAGCGCGCCGCCTGTGGAAGGACTACTTCCCCGAGGTCGACGGCATCGTCTTCCTCGTCGACAGCCAGGACCACGAGCGATTCGGCGAGTCGCGCGCCGAGCTCGACGCCCTGCTCAGCATCGAGGAGCTCTCCAAGGTGCCCTTCCTCATCCTCGGCAACAAGATCGACGCTCCCGGCGCCGTGTCCGAGGAGGAGCTCCGCCAGGCGCTCGGCCTCTACCAGACCACGGGCAAGGGCAAGGTGCCGCTCAAGGACATCCGGCCCATTGAGATCTTCATGTGCTCGGTCGTCATGAGGCAAGGATACGGAGAGGGCTTCAGGTGGATCTCGCAATACGTGAGTGGATTCGGCGGTGCTGTAACATGGTGCCTGCGCGCCGACATGCCTGTGCTGACCGTCTCTTTGATCTGCCCTCCTGCTTCATCTGACTCGTGTCTCGACAGATCTGAGCGGCCCTGCCACGGCCGGATCAGCTAGTCGTGGTCCGCAAGTTGCGAGCCGTGACGGAAGGACCCGAAAGGGGCTCGGGCAGTGGTCGAAACCGTGCCTCGAATCGCACGAGGCGGGCGATGCCTGCCAATGTAGCCGACGAAGGGGGAGAGAGGGAGGCGGGGGAAGAGCAACAGCGAAGGTTCCATTGCCCACATTGATCGATCCACAGCGTGCTCAGCGTGATTCTCGGCTCGCCGGACCTCGATCGTGCAGCGCTTGTTCGGGCCTGGTTCCGGCCCTTGGTGCGCGGCCCAGTCGTCGAGCCTCCGAGTCTGTCGACAGAGAGCGAGCGGGCCCATCTTCCGCCCGACTGCAATGCCGCACAGCAGTCAGCGTCGGCAAGGTGTGATCTCGTGCTCGACGACGTCCCGAGTCCACGATGCGAGGCGGGCAACGGTCTCCTCGATGCATGTGTGCGTGCCTGCCCAGACTCAAGCCGCGCCACACGTCGCCCGCCGGGCAGCAAGGGGCGAGTCGGGGTCTGGCGCTCCGGGCTGCTGGCGTGCCTCTCCGGCTCGCTTTCGATGCCCCTACGCAATTCGCGGTATATGAAGACAACATTTTGCAGCCGAATATGACCGGGTTTCTTGGCGCAGTTGGTCAGCGCGTCTCCTTAACAAGCCTTGTTCAATAGAGCTGGACAGCTGGTTAATCGGAGGAGGTCCTCAGTTCGAGCCTGGGAGAGATCATTTTTTGTGTGGCCGGCCGGGGACGCGATGGCGCCTGTCGCAGTCGCGTCGAGACCAACACCGAGCTCCACTTTTTGTGCCTTGGGGCTTGGCCCAGCTCCTCCTCCTCCAACGACGCACACGCTGGACCCACCCACTCGCCGCCGCCACCACCATCACTTGGCCCTCCTCAGCGCCTTCTCCGCCTTGCCGCCATGAGCCAGAGCCTCAAGAGCTGGTTGTTTGAGCGCATGGCGGACCAGGCGCACGACGCCCTCGAGAGCGGCACGACGCTATACGACCTGCCCTTCACCACGGGCAACCGGGTCCAGCTGGTCCGCGTGAGTTGGATCCTGCCGCCACACTTGGACATCACGATGGCAGGGAGCGCTCAGACTGTGGACCGGGGAATGCTGCCTCTTGACACCATCTTTCCTTGTCGGCAGTTTCTCACCTTTCGGCCGCCCGACGATCCGCTGGCCGACCGAGATGTCTGGGCCGTCGTGTCGGACCGGACGCACGTCATGGCGGCCAAGTTTGTCCGCGGGCAGGTGACGAGGTTCCAGCGGTGCGTACCGAGCTTGACCGCCGTAGCCTGTCCAGCTTGGCAGTGCCGCTAACGGGCTGTCGTCCCTCCGCGAAACGGACAGGAACAACCCGACGCTGCCCTTTACGACGCTGCGCGGCGCGCTGCTGATGCTGCGCGCGACCCGGGCCATCATCACGCGGATCCCGTCGGCGAGCAAGGCGACGATGTGGGACGAAAACGACTTCAACCTCGCCCTCGAGGTGCGCAGCTTCGACCTGCTCGGCTCCATCGGCGAGCCCACCTTCTGGCCGGACGCCAAGCTCGTCCTCAGCCCACGCGGCGTGCCCGCGGAACTCGAGCACAGGTGGAAGCTGCTCACCGAGTGGGTGGACAAGTGGCGGCGCTACCGGCTCAAGAGGGAGGAGCGGAAACGAGGTAAGTCGTCGGCCCGCTGCTCGCTGGCTGCTGCTGCTCGTCGTCGTCAGCACAAGCTCCCTCGTTGCGACCCTCTGACGAGCATCACGGGCGCATGCTTGCCCCCCTCTCTGCCACTGGCGACGAGCAGCTTCGGCGACGCTCAAGGCGGTCCACGACTCCGAGGCCAGGCACGAGCCCAGCCTCGATGCACTGCAGAGCACGCCGCTTCCGACGCCCGGGCAGCGGGTACGCAGCGATCCGGCCGTCAACCTGACGCGCTCGGCCGAGCGCACGTCGCGGTCGCAAAGCGACAGCCGGCTGATCCTCCAGCGGAGAGACGCCGACGAGACCGGGCTGACGCAGCTCGCCGGAGTGTCTCGCAGGAGCGCCAGGTCGGCCTGGGACGGCTACGACATCGACGCGGCCGTGCCTTCTACCATGGCCGTCTTCTCGGAGCCACCGCCATCGGCAGGCCCGCCACCGCCGCCGTCTGGCATCGATCGTGCCGCCGATGCGTGCGCCGGGATGAGCTTCCTGTCGACGACGGAAGAGGCCGAGTCGCTTTCCATCTGCCACGTTCCCGAGCCCCGTTGCAGGATACCGCCACCCGCGAGCCTGGACGGCGCGTGGAACGACGAGGCCATCCCGGATCCTTCGGATCTGGGCCTGTCGCCGATCGAGCTCACACCAGAGGAGCTCATCGCTTCTGACGCCGCCGCGCTGCCGGCTTCTAGGCTGCTTTCCACGCCGAAACCTGCCGTCGCCCCCGCTGCTACGACGACGACGCAAGTGGCGCCGGCCGCGACCTCGCCACCTACACCTTCGCTGTCGTTTGATCTCGCATCGACTCCGACTCTGTTGCACAGCTTCGCGGCGACCCCAAGCCGACGCCGCAGCCAGCTCGCCGCGAGCACCACGTCAAACATACCCGCCTCGCCCCGTCCTTCCGCCTCGGCCCTCGATAGCAAGCCTGACGGGACAAGGCCAGCTCCAACCACGACGACGACGACGACGACAGTGCGTTTCAAGGACGCTGCGTCTCCCGCGCGTGCGCGTCCCGCCGCCGCCGCCGCCGCTGCCGCTGCTGACGGCGAGGGCGGCTCGAAGGAGAGGAAGCGGAGAAGAGGCGGCTCCGACCCGCCCGACGATCCGATTCGAGCAAGGAAGCGCAAGAGCGAGGCGAGGGACAAGCTCAAGATGCTGTGAGTCGCCCCAGCCGACCTGCCTCCCTTGCTAGAGCCTAGGCACTGACTGAGCCTTGCTCCAATCCTCGGACGTGACCGGCCATCTCGAACAACAGGATGGCGTCGATCGTCGACTGAGCTTACCCAAACTACACGTTGCAGATCGTCCTCCCCCATCAGCTCAAGCACAGGCCGGCCCATCGCGCGCCAGCACAGACCGACATTGCGCGGACTCGACTGCGTCTGCTCATACCTGCTTCGTTTCGCCCTGCTTTCGCTACCAAGTACAGGAGCTGAGGCGATCAGCCTGGCGCGGTCGGAGAGGCTGCCGAGTCGATCAGGAGCCGCTCGACGGCGTCGGGCTGCGAGCCGTTGCTCTGCTGCAGCGCCTCGACCAGCGTCGACCGCGGCAGGTGCGGAAACATGGCCTGCAGCGCGCGGATCGACGGCTCGGTGATGGCCGTGTCCGGGTGCGGCTGCGTGAGCTGGGCCAGCAGATCCCTCAGCGCGCCGTGGCTGCCCGGCTGCGCATCGCCCGGATCAGCTCCCGCAGCTGACGAGCCGGTGCGGGGTGCGCCAGCTGCATTCGCATCGCGCCCGTCCGAGAACTCGCTCCTGGTCCGCTGCAGCATCGACTGGAGGAGCTCGCCAATCATTTCGTCGGTCCGCACCCTCTCGGCCCTTGTCGAGGCGGTCCCTGCCTCGTCGCCGCCGCGCGTGGTGGGGAGGATGCCCGTCGATCTCCTCTCGCCCGGCGATGGAGGAGCAGCGGCGCCAAAGCGCATCCGCAGCCCGCCGACGCTCTGCAGCACGGCGCTCGTCCGCCTGGCCCGCTCGTCCCTGGCACCGTCGATGGCGCTCTGCATCTGCTCTCTCCTCGCCTGCCTCGCCCGGAAGCTTGGCGGCGGCGGCGGCTCGGCGCGCCAGCTCCTCGTGGGCGTCCTCGTGGATCCGACCAGGCCGGAGAGAAGGTAGGCAAGGACGCGGTAGAGGCGCTTGGGGATGCGGTAGGACTTGAGGCTCGACGAGAGGAGCAGGTCGGACCGGTAGAGGGCCGACGTGGCCATCGCCAGCAGGCCGACAAACGGCGTCATCGACGGCTGCGAGAGGATGAGGAGGAGCGCCAGGCTCCAGATCTGGATGGCGCGGTCGCCGACGTAGACGGAGCCGATGCGGATCACCCAGCGGTCCGGCACGATGCGCGCGTGCTGGTAGAGGATGACGAAGAGGGGCGCAAACGGGCCCGAGGGAGTGCGGCCTTGCACACGGAGCGGCGCGGGCAGAAGGACGCGGACCGGCCAGGCGTCGGGGAGCGAGGTGAAGAGGACGAGGAGGACAAAGACGAGCGCCGTGTAGAGGCACAGCGTTATCGCCAGAAAGGACTGCGGGTCGAGAGCACCGACGAGGACGGCGGAGGATGCGATCAGCGAAACATCCACGTCAAGGGCAATAATGGCTTCGGGCGCGTGACTGGACCAACGGAGGCGGTCATGCACGCACCGCGAACTTGAGCGTACCAAAGCGGCGCTCGACCTCCCTCGAAGCGGTGTAGAAGAACAGCGTGGCCAGGAAGAGCTCCGAGGCATTGGCAAAGGCGACGTGGTGGGCGACGAGGCGCCAGTACTGGCCGTGGACCGAGAGGTGCGGGACGACCTGGAGGTGCGTATAGGGCTTGAACCGGAAGACGGACAGCACGACGGTCGAGATGGCCGTCGTGACGATGAGGCCTGAAGTCGGCAAGCAAGCAGGGAGGGGCCGGGCGGGGATGGGAGGCATGTCGCAGACAGGATCAGCCGTTGGCGTCTGGGCCGTCGACGAGAGCGGCTGGCAGAGGCGGGTGGCTCACCTTTTGATATTGGGGCATGGGCAAAGCCGGAGACCATGCTAGCGAAGGACTGGGGGCGGCGGTGGTGGCGATTGCGGCGGTGAAGGTGGTGGTGGTCGAGAGAGAGGGACCGAGGGAAGGGGCCCGAGGGCGCAAACCAAGAAGCTCAGGCGGGGGCGGGAGATGTGGAGGAGAGACCGGGAGGCGCACGAGCCCACGGCGCAGCGTCCTCTCCGACCTCAAACCACCACCACCTCCTCCTCTGCCTCTTCCTCGTCTTCCTCGCGCATTCAGCCTCTCCAACCTCTGCCCACCGACTCTGCCCACCGACTCTGCCCACCGCCGCCGCCATCCATCATACGCATCCTCAGCATAGAACGCACCGATCGCCGCCCTCGCTCACCGCACGACACCGCCTGCCAATATGCGCAAGGGGCCGGGCATCGCCGCGCTGGACCGCTCCATGCACTCGTCGCAGCAGTACTCGACGCTGGGCAGCGAGCTGACGACGACGCAGATTGCCTCGCTCCGCGCCCAGCTCGACCAGTTCGCCACGGCGCTGCGCCACTTTGCCACCCAGCACCGCCAGGAGATTCTCGCCAGCCCCTCGTTCCGACAGGCGTTCCAGCGCATGTGCTCGAGCATCGGCGTCGACCCGCTCGCATCGCCCATCCCCTCGTCGAGCCGCTCCGGCCCGGGCGCAAAGGTCGCGGGCATCTGGAGCGACCTCCTCGGCCTCGCAGACTGGCAGTACGAGCTCGGCGTACAGATCATCGACGTCTGCGTGTCCACGCGCCACCTCAACGGCGGCCTCATCGCCATCGACGAGCTCATCGCCCGCGTCTCGCGCCTGCGCAACGGCCAGCAGCACCTGCCGTCATCGACCTCGGCAGCGGCGATAACGGCCACATCACCGACGCAGCGGACGGGACCAGGCAAGGCTGGGACGTCGTCGAGCAGTGCGCAGACGAGCGCCATCAGCGAGGACGACGTCGTTCGGAGCATCAAGACGCTCGCACCGCTTGGGTGCGGCTACGAGATCATACAGGTCGGCAGCAAGAAGATGGTCCGAAGCGTGCCGCGACAGCTGGGCACGGATACCATGACTGTGCTCGCCATCCTTGCGCTGCCAGCAACTCCCCTCTCGACTTCGCCCGCATCACCGACGGCGACGACGCCGCACGCAGCCACCACCGCTTCCGTCGACCGGGACGAGACCGGCCTTCCCTACGTGACCGAGCAGTCGCTCATGCTGCCACGCTCGGCGGCGGGAACATCTACCACGGCGGCCAAGCCGGCATGGACCAGCGAGCGGGCGCGCGCCGTGCTCGACGACCTGGTGCTGCGCGAGGGCATGCTGTGGGTCGACCACCAGGCATACCCTCCGCGATACTACTCGCTCGCCATCGGCCTCGAGGCAGCATAGCAGCGCAGCGAAGGCGGTGGCGGTGTCCTCCCGTCGTCGCCGTCGTTGCCGTCGTTGTCGTCATTGGATTCGTTTCCCGACAGTCGGGCTTCGGGAGCGCACCTTCGCTCTGCCTGCATCCAGTACGATGCCAACGATCTTTTCGACGGTGTGCTGTCGCTGAGCCATCGGGCCCCTTCTCCTCGATGTGGACTTGACCCCGTCGCTGACGAGAAGGAGGTCAGGCGTCGACTCGTGATTGCGTCGCCCGCAGCTCAGCCACGCGCGTGAGCACGTCCGTGGCCGAGGCAAGGAGCTCGGGATGTCCGGGGCAGACACGTGGAGGGATGGCATGTTTCTTGGCTCGAGGCGCCGAGGAGGATGGCCTGCCAAAGCATGCGGGGTGCGACAGCCGGATGCCAGGGGACCGACAGCGTCGACCCTTTGGCCGGCAACCATCCAGAGAGGCGGTACACGTCGCATCGGCGAGGGCTCGCTACCGGTATCAGATTGAGCGGCGAGGGCTGACCAGACTCATGGCCCAAGAAGGCGCCGGACCCTTGCTTGTTGGCTCACGTCGACGCCGCCGCCGCCGCCACCACCACCAAGCGCCCGCATCGACGTGGTGGACGAGGGGGAAGTGAAGGGCGAGACGTGATGAGGATGGCGGATTGCGGTACATACGGCGCGTCCTACGCGTCGTCGAGGCTCGTTGGCTGTCGTCCTCGTGGAGCCGCAAGCAAGGAAGCCGATTTCTCACCACAGGCAGCGACAGGTCAGTCGGTCAGGTCGGTCGACACACGGGCCAGCCTCGCGGTTGGTTGGTCTGGATGGGCGCGCCAGGTCATCGAGCAGAACAGAGGGAAGCGGTCCGATCCGGAATCGGGGGTGTCGGATCCTCGCTAGGACGTCCTCAAGGTGCGGCGCGGGAATCCCGTCGACGGCAGCAGCAACAGCAGAATAGCATGCATGCTGGTGAACCACGCTCGCACGCACGCCTCCCGGGCGCACGGCGGGCCAACCTCCGCCAGTCTGTGGCCTGCAATAGCCAGCGGTGGCCTCAGCTGAGGTCAGGGCCATCGGCGGCCGCACCGACTCGCGAGGCGTCGCTGGGGTCCCGTTGTGCGCGCCTGCTGCTGCTTGTCGCTTGCTCCTCGACCTGGCCTGGCCAGCCCCTGATCCGCGCCCGCCCCAAGCAGAGCAGCGGCATCCCATCTCACCCACGGGGGCCACGAGGGCAGGCCTGCGGGCGAGGCGCGGGATCGGCCAGGGACGGGATTCGCGATGATCGGCCTCAACGCCCGTCCAGGGTCCACAAGGCAAGACAGACAGGCCGGACGATGATCGACGACCTCCATCGACACCTCTCAACCCACCCTGCCACCCCGCCAACGAGTTTGCTGCGCCGTGACCGGCTGGCCCCGACGTATGTCCAGGGTGGGCTGCCATCGGATCGGCCCTGACCCGACGCAGAGGTCGTCGTCGCAAGTCGCAACGGAGCGCTCGCCACCGCCGTCCGTAGGATTCTAGCGCCCTTCCATTCGGGGCCATGCTCATTTCATGCCTGCCTCGCCCCCGTCGGCTGGAAGGAGCGAGGGGGGTCACGGCGGGGAAGCCGGGACTGCGGGCTGTTGCAGCCATGGAAGCAGAGGGCAAGGCGAGCTGAGGCGTGCGAGCAATCTAAGCAGGCCGCGACCGCTCGCTAGAACCGCATCGCAGGAGAGCTGCGGCAGGCAGGCAGGCGCACTTGCCTACGGTACGCCGTGTTCTCTATCTACACTCTGCTGTGACTACGGCGCGGGCGGTGGCAGCAGCAGCAGCAGCAGCAGCAGCAGCCCGAGACCTCCGACAGCCCGCCTGTCCCCTCGATCTGCGCCATCAGCGCGCGTCGCCCTCTTTCTCCAAGGGTAGCTTCTGCTGCGAGGACACGCCGCCTTTGTTCTCGACCATCCAGCGCCGGGACAATAAGGAGGTGCTCCAGCATCGCTGGCGATGATCCTCGCCATATGTACGTCGAGTGGAAGTGTGCCTGATCGTCGGCCCCCCCCTCGCTGCGGCGAGACATGGTACCGTTGGCCCGTCGGTCTGCGTTGCGCGTAGGGCAGTCCTTCCATCAGCCACCTGCCTGGTCGGCCATCCTCTCGACGCTCAGCCCACTGCCACGCCGGGCGGGGTCGAGGTCTTGTCGTACGCTCTCCCGCGCCTGCACTTGCTTGCTCTCCGAGACTTTTATCGAGCGCCCCAGCGCCCAACAACGCCCGACAGGCCAAGGCCGGCGACACACGTCCTCTCTGCTCTCCTCCTTCCGCCCGCCGCCGTGACGCCCGCCGCCGCCTCTCACGTCCCCTGTCCCCGAACTTACTCCGTTCTCCTCGTCCTCGTGCTTCTCCTTGACATCCGCCTCTCGTGGCCGTGTGGGCGACGGCGACGTTGGCGTTGGCGTTGGCGGATCACGAAGCCGCCGCTCTGGGAGCAGGCGGCCACTCTGTCCGTCCGTACGTGCAAGCAAGGACGGCCTGCGATGCTCGCGACCGGCCTTGCTTGCCTGCCCGCTTGCTTCAGAGAGGACCGGTACATACCTAGCAGCGCGCCCTGCCAAAACCTCGGCTCTGCCATCCATCGGCCTCGCCTCTCGCAGCACCGACATACATACGGTACGAAATCTCTCCGGCCGGACTGGCAGGTTCGGCCTGTGGGCTGTGTTGGGCTTTGCTTCCCATCGATCCTGTCTTCGTCCCGCAGCCTGCTTGAGGCCCCATCTCGCTCGTCGCCCGACATCTCCTCGTCGCAGCGGCAGGCGATGCCGCGAACACGACTTCGGACGGCAGCCGCCGATCCAGCAGAGTAGCACGTTGCGTGTGCGAGCGATTCTGGGAGAGTGGGACGTTACGTTGGCAACCCTCGCGAACCGGCGTCAGCGGACGAGGTGAATCGCCTCGCCTTCTGGCAGCGAAGAAGCAGGCAGGCCAATTTGGGCTCCTTCTTTCGAAGCCCTCTCCGAACCAAAGAGGGGGGCTAGGCGACAGGCTAGGCTGAGGGAGGAAGGCGGGCGGCATGATATGACGCTGGGATGCCTTGCCGGGACAGCGAGGCGCAGCGAGCCCTTCGTCGGATCGAGGTCCGCAAACACAAAACGGCGCCCGCTCGACGTTGCAACGGCCTGCTGGCTTCGAGCCCGCTGGCCTCTCTTCGTTGAAATCACCCACCAGCAGCGGCGGCGAGCCAACCTAAGCTGCGTCTGCCTGCTTGCCCGCCTGCCGGTCTGTCTGCTTGCCTGCCCAGGCTTCGATTCTTTTTTTTTTTTTTTTTTTTTTTTTTTTTGTTTGGATGGAAAATGGGGGAGGGCGCTGGCGCAGGCCCAGGCCGCCAGCCCAGGCCATCCCGTGCCTCTCGTCTGGTGCCGGCGATGCGTGCGTGCGTCTCTCTGGCTTGCCTCTGGCGTGTCCCGGCCCAGCCCTCCTGGCCTTGGGCCCCCTCTCGCGCCGCCTCTGCTCCGCTGGGCAGGCTGTCCCGGCCTGGTCGTTGTGGGTCGGTTGGCGGTGCTGCCGCGATTCGGCAGCATCTCGTCGACGTCGCACGCCTCGTCCCCTTGCCTCGACACCATCACACCCGGCCTTGCGCGTACTCTCCTCCCCCTTCCGACCTCGTACTTCGTCTCCCCTTCTCCCCTTCGGCATCGTTCCGCCTTGTCGGTTGGTCATTGGAGCTCTCTGTTGCGGTGCGGGAAAACAACATCGTCCCCTCTTGGACCTGGCCCGTAGAAACCAACGCCGTCCTCGTCCCACCTGCGACTCTGCGCGCGAGAGGGCGACATCGCAACGCCACCCTCCCCCGCCACTCGCCATCTGGTCCACACGTCTCGCCCGGCCCCATCCACCACCTCGGCGGGTCCTCACCATCCTCACCATCACCCTCGTCACCTCCAACCCCTTTAGCCGTCTTTGAGTGCGATACGGCATCGCTCTTTTCCTCTCAGCCGCTTGCTCGGCCCGCTCTCACGACTGCGACACCACGAGAGGGATCCGCTCCTCGAACCGGAAGCACTTCGGCCACCCTGCTTCCCCTGTTCCTCGTCGTCTAGAGCACCCGTTCGGCTCTCCTCCGTCATCCGACCTGGACCTTTCCCCGATTCCATACCCGACACCTTATTCCGTTCTCGACACGGTCGGCGGAACACCGACGCCCCTTCGCCCACGACCTTTGACGGAAGGAAGAATCGCAGCGGCACCAACTCGACTCCTTGGACCTCGATCCAACCGCGCGTCGCTCCTAGCCCGTCTGCCGCCATCCCAACGTGCGGATACACCCACCGCCCACTCGTCCGGTCTCTCTTTGCAGCCGTGATCCGCCCTAGCCTGTTTTTGCCGGCAGACTATTGTCCCATCCGCTCGCCCCTGAATCGCCCCCGGTCCGACACCCATCGTCCTCTCGATCCATCGCTGGACCAGACACTTGCTCGATCGCTCGCAGCACGTCCTATCCGAGCGACTCGACCAGCCGCCTACGAGCAGCGACACGGGCCCCGCACCCCTCAATCCCGACCCTGCCTGCGCACCCGTGCAGAGCAACAAAACCACCATGGCCGTCATCGACCCTGTCGCACCGCAGGGCAACCCAAGACTGGCCCGCCGCGATCCCGACATCGTGGGCGAGAGCAGCAAGGCCGGCATGGGCCTCGACTCGGCGGCCATGCAGAGGCGAGCGCCATCGCGCGGCCAAGCCCAGCACAAGCAGCCGGAGATCCGCTTGCCAAGGCCTGGACCCGCACCGGCACCTGCCCCCGCACCCGCCCCAGCACCACAGCCCACGCAGCCACCCACGAGACGGTCAGCCGACGATCCTGAGCTCATCCGGCTCGATCGGCGGGAGTTTGCCGATCTGATGGAGCGCGGGGATGTAGCAGGCGGACGCATCGTCGGGCCCTTCTACCCGCGCGATGCCGACGAGCTTGCCGAGCTCAAGCGGCGTGTGGCCGAGAAGCGGCGACGCGGCGACTTCAGGTCGGGACACGCGATAGGTGTCGGAGGCGACGGCTTCGACGGCCTGGCGCGGCGATCGGTCCAGGACCTTGACGGCGACCTCCTCGCAAGAAGAACGCCAACAGAAGACGAAGAGAAAGAAGCGCTCCTCGGCTGGGAGCTGGCACGGAGGGATGACTACGAGCGCACCGAGTGGGAGAAGCGCCAGACGGCGGCCGAGGAGCAGTGCTTTGTCGGCAACGAGGACTTGAGCTGCTATCCGACCGCGGGCACGCAGGTCGTTCAGGGCCGTTGGAGCAGGGTGAGTTTGTCAAACTCGGCAGGGGACCGTGGCGCCCCATCCGCCCGCTGATGCCGTCGTGTTCTGACCGCGCCTGACCGATCCATCCATCTCGTTGCCGTTCTTGTTCCGTCCTCTCCCGCAGTTTATCTGGAACTCGAACTTTCCGCTGTTCGCGCAGGCCGGCTTCGTCGACGTCTACCTCTTTCAGCAGGACACCGACAACATTGTCACGTCCTGGACCTCGCAGGACAACGGCGCCGGGCGGCTGTCGTTCCGGCCAAACGACTCGTGGTGGCAGACCAAGGCCGCGGCCGCCAACATCCAGCCCAACCAGAACATCAGCTGGCCGTTTTACTTTGTCGTCCTGCCCTCGGGCGCTTCGTTGACGGGCACGACGAGCCGCCTGGCCACCTGGACCGCGATCCAGACGGCGCTTCCGGCCGCCATCGCCGCCTCGCGGTCGGCTGCCAGCGCGTCGGCTTCGGCCGCCTCGGCCGCGTCGGCCTCTTCTGCCTCTGCGGCGGCGGCCGCGGCGACCGGGTCCTCTTCCGGCGCCACCGCGACTCCGACCGACTCGCGCGCCATCCAGTCGGCCGTCCAGTCCAGCCTCAGCGCCGCGCTCGAGTCTTCGCTGCGCGCGTCGGGCCTCTCTGGCACCGAGACGCTGGCCGGCACCACGACGGCGACGCTGCCCAACGGCTCGCTCGTCACCGCCACCGCCACAGCGCAGGCCAACGGGCGCTCGCTTGGCGGCAACGACAATGGCAACGGCCTCGCGCTGCCGACGTACGCCATCGTCCTGATCGCCGTGCTGGGATTCCTGGCGCTTGTCGCCGCCATCGCCGGCGCCTACTTCATCATGGCCGCGCTCCGTAAGCGACGCCAGGCGCAGAGCCAGCGCGGCAGTTACGGCAGTGGTAGCCCGATGATGGCGGCCGCGGCCGGATCGCTGGCGGGCGTCAGCACGACGGACGGCGGGCACGCTGGCGAATCGTCGCACATGCTCGACGAAGGGCACGGAGCTGGTGCGGCCGGACTTGGAGCCGGGCTGGCGGCCGGCGCCGGTGCAGGCTACGCAGCTGGCGGCGCTGGGCGGTCGCGCTCGCTGCAGTCCGAGGACAGCCACCTCTTCACCTCGGACGAGGCGACGCGGATGGCCGATGCCTTCCGCAACGCGCTGCGCCGGCCCGAGTTTGCGCCGGCCGGCTTCGGCGACGGCAGCGGCGAGGCTAGCGGTGACAGTCCTATGGAAGACACGCCCGAAAACGGCGCGGGCAGCCGCGTCTCTGCGCTTCTGCGCGAGGAGCTGGCCGCCGAGGGCAAGGACCTGCAGAGCGTCGGCGACCGCAAGAAGGCCACCTGGCACGAGGACTGAGTCGCACTGCTGGTCACCGGCAGCTCCGCGACCGGGGGCCCGCCGGGTCCGCACGTCAGCTCGCGAGGCTCCACCCTGCCTTCCTGCCTTCCTGCCTGCCTGCGACCCTTGCGAGCGGGCCGGAGCGTACCACGCTTCCCGGCCGATTCCTCCAGCCCAGGTCACCACTTCGAAGCTTCCGGCCGTCTGCCCTCGGTCTTATCGTCATCGTCGCCGCCCGTCAGGGCATCGACATCGCTGCATTCGAGGTAGACTGCATCGCCAAAGCAACCCACCTCCTTGGGCCTCCCTCCTCGTCCTGTCCAAGCCCAACGCCATACACCAGCGCCACGCCACGCCACTCCACGCCCACGCCAAACTCACGTCGTGCCACTTCATCGCCAAGCCAGCCTTTCTGTCACCAGTCTCGCCTTGCATATCTGAACAATTCCTTTCTCAAGCTCTCACCGGCCTCGATCCAATCATCACTACTTCGCCTTCCGGCATCCTCTGCTCTGTCCGCTGTGGGGGTGATCGCTCGCCCTCGTCGAGCATCCGGCACCCTCACGCTCTTCCTCGCTCAGCCCGACGGGACATTGCTTGCCTGGCTCCGTGCAAGCCCTTGCTGCTGCTACTCTGCCGCGTCCCTTGTCGTCCCCTCCCCCCTTCTACGTCACTTTGACGCTCCCCTTGTTCCAATTCCCTCGTCTCTATCCCCCACGCGTCTCGGCTCTTTCCCTCTCCATTCTCTCGTCGCCACGGGCATCCATCAGGGCTTCCGACTCACATTCGTTCTCCCCACCCAACCCCCTTTCGCGCTTTGCCTTCCGGAAGCGCTCGCCACCTCCCCGATCGCCGTTTCGTCCTGCCTGGCAGGCGGGGCGCGGTGCGGCGAGGTGCGTCGGCACGGAGGATCCGAGTCGAGCAGCTGTGCTCCTCGATCTTCCTCTTTTTGCTCCCTTCCCCACCACCTCACTCCACCCAACCTCGTCGTCGCTGCCAATTCCATCCGAGCCCTTCTTTCCATCCTGCCGCCGCCTGCTTGCCTCGACGTCGCCGGATCCTCGTCAGCTTCTTCGCCCACGTGATCTCGACGACGGACGGACTGGTCGCCAATCTCACTCGTGCTGATGATGGTATGCTGCGACGACGGTGCTGCGGCGGCTCGTCACCGTCGCCCGAAACGGCCTAAAAGTACACTTCTCGATTGCGAGCACGACGACGACGGCGCTGGGTGGGGACGGCCGCTCACCGCCGGGATCCGTCGCTGCCGTCCTGGAGCCTGCGGTCGACCCTTTCGAGGAAATCCCTTCGCTCGAGGTAACCCTTGATGCTGCCCAGCCCGCTGCCCCCGCCCTTTGTCTGGGCCTCGATCTCGTCCCTCTCGGCCTCGGTGATGCCCATGGCAGGGTCCGACTTGAAGCGGTCCCAGTCCATCTTTGACTTTTCCAGCGTGTTGAGCTTGGTCGGCTTGGCCGTCGCCGCCGCCGAGAGCGAGGCGAGCGAGGAGCCACCCTTCTTACGACGTGGACCCGGTCTCGGCGCTGGCTTTGGCGCACTGGTGCCCGCGGCGGCGGTGGCGGCGGCGGCGGCCTCGGAGGAGAGGTGTGGTGCTGCTGCTTCTGCTGCTGCTGGCGCTGGCGCTGGCGCTGCCGATGTCGAGGGGCAAGGGGCAGCAGACGACGAGGGGAGCGACGAGAGGTAGGCAATGGCGTCTGGATGCGAGCGCGGGAGCAGCTTGGTCGTCGTGGTCGTCTCGCCCGCAAACTCGTAAGTCTGCACCACCGAGACGAGCTCCGGATCGCCCGTCGCTGCTTCGTTGGCCGCCGCGACGGCTGATGGCGAGTCCGACGTTGGTGCCGCCTTGATGTCCTGCCACGCCCTTTCCGCCTCTGCCTGCGCTCTGGCCTTGGATTCCGAATCGCCCTGCGCCGAGCTGAAGGGGGGAAGGGGGCCCAGGAGGCGGCAAGGCAAGACGTCGTCGAACGCGGGTAAGGATCTTGACTGCGCGGTCTGGGGCCATGTCTCGCTGGGCGACGGTGCTCGACTCACCTCTCATTGTTGCCGTCGCTATCCGCTGCGGCTCTGGTCCTCCTCCGCTTGCCCAGCCGGACCTCTCCGCCCGCCTCTCTGATCATTTCCTCGCGCTCTCGCCTGGCCGCTTCCACCTCTTCGTCGTCGATGTCCTGGTCGGGGTCCGCCCCAGCCGCCTTTCTCTTTGACGGAGGAGTCCTGCCCGTTGCTGCCGCAGCATCGCTTTGCTCGTCATCTGAGTCGTCATCGTCGCCATGCCCGCCGTCATCGGACGCCTCACCGTCTCGTTGTGGGCCTGTGGTGCGCGTTGGCGGAGCAAAGTCTTCGTCGTCTTCGTCTTCGTCGTCGTTTTGATGGTCGCTGGTGTCCTCGGTCCGGGTCGGGTCGATGGACGACGCGGCGAGGGCGGCGGCTGCGGCCTGGTCTGCTTCTTGAGGCATGTCTCGAGGGAAGGAAAAGGGAACTGCGCGGCAAGGAAGGAGATCGGAGGTGATGGTGGTGGTGGTGGTGGTGGTGGAACGGAAGCAACAAGGATGAGAAGCGCGAGTGATCGATGGGTGCAGCCGTTGGGCCTCGCTTCTCCACCTGCCTCGTGGGCCAAAGGAGCAAAGGGCTGAGGTGGCGGCCATACGGCCCGCGCACGGGGCGGCCCCGGCCTCTTGCCACCTTGCCACCACCTCCTCCTCTGCGCCATCAACCGCCTTTCACCCCGCATTCACCCGGAGACGCTCAATGTAGCGCACCTCAATCGCACACTACCCCATCCAAGACGCACATCCCACCTTGATTCCCTCGTCCCCTCGCCCCCTCGCCCCCTCGCCCCCTCGCCCCCTCGCCCCCTCGCCCCCTCGCCCCCTCGCCCCCTCGCTCGCACTCGCCGGCCGTTGCCACAATGACGAGCCAGCCGCTGCAGCGGTGGCAGGACCGCGCCATCTCCAACATCTTTGCCATCACGCTCACACGGCCCGACGCCTCGTCGTCCACAGCATCGCCACCCAAAGTCTACCTCAAGCACCTCGCAGAGGAGCTGACCCAGGAGAACAATGGCACCCTACCGCCCCTCGACTCGTCCATCGCAGACCGCATCCTCATCTCCCGTCTCTCCCTCGACCCCTCGGACGCCATGTCCGACGACGCCGACCACCTCGCCGCGATCGCAGCCCTCCCAAAGGGGCAGACCAGCTGGGACTACCTCGCCGCGGCCTGGACCAGGCTCAAGGCCGAGGAGCCCTTGGTCAAAAAGGCGCTGCCAAACGACCACCAGGCTGCCTCTGCCGCCCTCGACGAGATGCGCGGCCTCATCATCAGCTACATCGGCCTCGTCCTCCAGACGCCAGACATGTTCCCAAACGGAGAAAAGAACGGAAAGCCCGTCTCGCCCCTCGTCCTCGTGCCCTCGCTCTCGCGGGTCGCCGCGCCCGTGTCGTCGTTTGGCATCTCCTCACAGCCGACCAGCTCCAACGTCGACCTCTCGCGCGACTGGGAGACCATCGACCCGGAGCTGATGCCGACGTTCGTCGGTGAGCTCGCACAGCGCTTCGGCGACGGCGACGGGCTCGACCAGATCCTCGGCCCCGCCTATACCGAGCTCACCCGCCGCATCCGCGATGGCGAGGGCGAGCCATCGGCGGCGTCGGCGGCGAGCGGTCAGGCTGGACCTAGTTCCGCAGCTGCAGGTGGTGCGCCCGGAGCGTCAACTGGCCCTGCGCTCAACAACGATGCCCTCAACCGTGCCGCTGCGGCGGGCGATGTGCAGGCGGTCCTCGCTCACCTGCTCGGCCAGGCGGGAGCAGCTGGCATGCCTGGTGCCGCCGCAGGAGGGCAGGGTCGTGGCGGACGCGGCCCGCAGCTGCCGCCCCAGCGGGCTCCAAAGGAGGGCATGACGATAGGTGGCCTCGAGTGGCGTCCCTACGTCAACGCCCTGGTCGAAGCGACGCAGAACAAGCGCATCGCCGAGATGCTGACGGCGCTCGACAACTTCAACCCGCAGAGCGACGGCGCCGGCATCGAGCTCGACTCGCTGCTGGGCCCCGTGCTGCGTCTCTCGATCTTCCCCGACGGCTTCCCCAGCCTCACGCAGCAGTACTTTGGCGATCCGGACAACCGGTCGCCGTCCGACATCCACAGCAACATGGGCAGCGTGCGGTCCACGCTCGAGATTGTCCATTCGCTCAACTTCCGCATCTGGAACGCCCTGGTCCGCTCGGACCCCAAGGCGCGCGAGCGCGTGCTAGCCTATTGGGGGCGCGCGTGCGAGCTCAACGCCAAGCGCGGTGCGATGCAGGTCGATTCGCGCCTCGTGGCTACCGACGGCTTCATGGTCAACCTGTTTGAGCTGGCCGAGCGCTTCTGCGAGCCCTTCATGGACGCCGGCTACACCAAGATCGACCGGATCGACCTCGAGTACCTGCGCCACGAGAGGCGCTTCGCGATCGGCGATTTGACCCGCCTCAACGCGACCGAGTCCGAGGCCAAGGAGTGGTCGACCAAGGCCGCCGCCGCCGCCGACGCCCAGGCGGCGCCCAACTTCATCACCGAGGTCTTCTACCTCGCATTGCGGCTCAACAACCTCGGTCCGGGCAAGGCGATCCGGAGGCTGGGCGACCTGGAAAAGGACATGCAGCGGCTCAAGAAGCGCATCGGCGAGACCGAGGCGGACCGGGCCATGTGGTCGTCGACGCCCCAGGCGTCGCAGTACGAGGCGTTCCTGCAAAAGGCCAAGGCTGAGGTGGCCAGGATGCACGCTGGCACCCTGGCGGCCCAGGCGCAGCTGCTTGACCCGGACTTTGTGCAGCGGATGATTGTGTTCCACTCGTTTGTCATGACGTGGCTGGTGCGGCTGGCCGAGCCCAAGGCGTCGCACCCGCACCCCAAGGTGGAGCTGCCGCTGCCGCAGGAGGTGCCGGAGCGCTTCCGGATGCTGCCGGAGCACGTCTTTGAGGACGTGTGCGACACGATGCTCTTCGTCTCGCGCTACGTGCCCGACAGCCTGACGGAGCCGGCCAAGAACGACCTGGTGACGTTCTGCACCACGTTCCTGTCGTCGGGCTGGTACATCAAGAACCCCTTTTTGCGCGCCAAGCTGGCCGAGATCCTCTTCTACAACGTCATCCCCTTTGGCCACCACCGCAACGGCATCATGGGCGACAATGTCAACGTGCACGACCTGGCGCTGCGCCACCTGGTGCCGGCGCTCATGTCGTTCTGGATCGAGGCCGAGTCGACGGGCTCGCACACGCAGTTCTACGACAAGTTCAACATCCGCTACCACCTGGCTCAGGTCTTCAAGGCGATCTGGTCGAACCCGCAGCACAAGGAGCAGCTGCACCGGGTGGCCAAGTCGCGCGAGTCGGACTTTGTCGTCTTCATCAACCGGCTGATGAACGACGTCACGTTCCTGCTCGACGACGCGCTCGAGAAGCTCCAGGAGCTGCACCAGAAGCAGAGCGAGATGGACGACGCCGCGGCGTGGCAGGCGCGGCCCGTCGAGGAGCGCCAGGAGCGCGAGGGCCACGTGCGCAGCATCCAGGGCGCGGTGCGCGGCGACCTGCAGCTGGGCACCGAGTTTCTGCGGCTGCTCATCGACTTTACCGCCGAGACAAAGGACTCGTTCATGACGCCCGAGATTGTCGACCGGCTGGCGGCGATGCTCGACTACAACCTCGACCTGCTCGCCGGCCCGCGCTGCCAGGAGCTCAAGGTCAAGGACCCGAAAAAGGTGGCCTTTGAGCCGCGCAACCTGCTGCGCCAGATCCTCAGCGTCTACCTCAACCTCGCCGTCAAGCAGGAGTTTATCGCCGCCATCGCCAAGGACGGCCGCAGCTACCGCAAGGAGACGTTCCAAAAGGCCGCGGGCATCGCGCAGAAGTACATGCTCAAGAGCCCGCCCGAGATCGAGGCCTTTATCGGCATGATTGACCAGGTCGAGACGGTGCGCCAGATGGAAGCCGACGAGGAAGAGGACCTGGGAGAGGTGCCGGACGAGTACCTGGGTGAGTCGCCGAGCTTCCCTTTTTCTCCTCTGCCCCCCGTGCGCCGCCTCCTCCTCGCGCTGACACGTTCCCCCTTGCTGTGCGCCTCGCGACTGGCCGTCTCAGACCCGCTGATGGCGACGCTGATGAAGGACCCGGTGATGCTGCCGTCGTCCAAGACGATCCTGGACCGGTCCACGATCAAGGCGCACCTGCTGAGCGATGCCACGGACCCGTTCAACCGGATGCCGCTCAAGATCGAAGACGTGGTGCCCGCCGACGAGCTGCGCGGGCAGATCCAGCAGTTTATGCAGGAGCGCAAGCGGAAGCGCGACCAGGTCGTCGAGCACAAATAGACCGGCGCGGGTCTGCCACGGCACGCGTTGGCGCCATGGGCTGCAGGTAGACGACGATGTTGGGCCTGGTCGAGCGCCGCGAAAGCCATCATGAGCCGGTCAAAGCTGGATCCAGCCTGCCTGCATCCGTGCGCGCGCGCAAAGAGACGGAGAGTGTCCCCGCAGGAGGTAAGTGGGTAAGGGGTATGAATGATTGTCGATGTACCAGCGTGGGGATGCGCCTTCGGGCGGAGGCGGCTTCGGCCTAGGCCTTTGCGCGCTTCTTCTTCTCTGCCCGGACGTTGACCATCATGGCGCGGTGGGCGAGCTTTTCGGCGTTTTCAATGGCCTTTTGGGCCTTTGCGCGGGCGTCCTTCTGCCTGGTCTTGCCGCGGTTGGTGGTGCGCTTGGCGGGCGCCTGCTGCTGTTGCGTTTGGTGCGGGCGGTGCAGCGCTGTTGTCGAGCGTAGTGGGGGCCGAGGGCGAGGAGGGAAATAGGGCGGGAGAGGAAGTGGCGGGGGGTGAGCAGCGGTCAACGTGGGGTGACGTGGAAGGAGGGACGGGCCCACCTTGGTTGGAAGATGCCGTCGCTGCCGCCGTGGCTGATGTGGCCGAGGATGGTGTCTGCTCGTCGTCGTCGACCTTGATGATGGGGAAGGCTTCCGGTTGTCTCCGCTCCGAGCCTAGGTGGCGCCAAGGAGGGGAAGCGGCATCTCGGGAGTCAGAAGGGCTCGAGAGTCGGCCTTTGGACGGTCGTGTGCGCGCTGCTACGTACGTTTGAGCTTTCCTGCCTTGACCATATTGGGCGATTGCGTCGTTTCAGGCCGAGGACGAGGAAGTGGTGGCGGTGGTGGTGGCAAAGAGGGCGAGGAAGGGAGGAAGGAGGTAGGCAAGGCAAGGCAAGGCAAGGCAAGGCAAGGCAAGGCAAGGCAGGCACGCGCTTTGAAGTTTTTCGGGCGGCCCCTCGAGGTCGTGTGGAGAAGAGGGCGGGTGATCTGGCCCTGCAGCTCCCCCATCTTCTGTTCCCGCAGACCAACACTCGCCCCGCGCCTACCCTGCCCTTGGCCTGCTGTTGGCCGACTTCCTCTTTGTTCGCGACCGCCATCACTCGTTTTGCTTTGCTCTGCTTTGCCCCATCCTCTCCTCCCCTCTTACTCTGCACAGCGCGCTCACCATGGTGGAACCAGACAGCGTCTCGTCGAGGAAGCGGTCGCGCTCCTCCTCCTCCTCCTCGTCGTCCCCCGGGCCGATGCCACCACCACCACCTCCGGTCGACGCCTCCAACGGCCACGGTGGCAACGACGACGGCGACTCTTCCGACGAAGACGTGGGGCCCATGCCGCCCCCCGCCGACGGCGCCGCCGCCGCCGCCGCCACGTCCAACTCGCACCGGGCCAAGAAGCCAAAGACGCTGCCCTACACCTCGACCTACCTCTCGCACCTCCCCAGCGCCGACCGCTACTACAAGTCGCTGATGCACCGCGACACCATCAACTTCGTCACCCTCACCGCCCACACCGACTTCCTCATCACGTCGAGCGTCGACGGCCACGTCAAGTTCTGGAAGAAGAGCAAGGACGCCGGCATGGGCGTCGACTTTGTCAAGCACTACCGCGCCCACCTCAGCCTCATCTCGGCCGTCTCGGCCAGCGCAGACGGCCGCATGTACGCCAGCGCCGCCGTCGACGGCAGCGTAAAGGTGTTTGACGTCGTCAACTTTGACCTCATCAACATGATCAAGCTCGACTTCACGCCGCGCGCCATCTGCTGGGTCCACCGCAAGGGCAGGGCAGAGACGATCCTCGCCATGTGAGTGTGCCGCGTCGTGCTCAGAGGAGGTGCAGCCAGCCAGGCGACTCATCAGACGCAGACGCTGACCATGGGTTTGGCTCTCACCATGCGCACTCTTGCTGCCACTGCCTGCCCGCCTGCCTCTGCCTGCCTGCAGCGCCGAAGAGGGGACCAACCGCATCCACCTCTACGACGGGCGCGGAGACGGCACGCCCACGGCCACCATCGACACCATCCATCGCCAGCCTTGCCACCTCCTCGCCGTGAGTTGCTCCCGCCCGCCGCTTCACTGCTCGCCGCGATGCCGTGTTGACCTCCCCCGATATCCTTTTTCTCTCTTGCTCCGTCTCTCTCTCGCCTTCCGCCCCGCTCAGTACAACGAAAAGCACGACTGCGTCGTTTCGGCCGACGTCGGCGGCATGGTCGAATACTGGACGCCCTCGGAGCCCTACTCGCTGCCCAAGGGCGTGTTCGAGTTCAAGTCGGCCACAGACCTGTTTGATTTTAAAAAGGTGCGTCGTGGGCCTCGATCCCTGCCCGCGCAAGGCCCGAGGAACGGTGCTGACCGCCCTCGATCCTGTTGTTTCCCTCCGGTCGCCCGCGACCGCCAGACCAAGACGACGCCGGCCACGCTCACGTTTTCTCCCGACTTCAGCACATTTGCCACCTTCTCGCTGGCCGACCGGCAGATCCGGCTGTTTGACTTTGCGTCGGGCAAGCTCAGGCGCAAGTACGACGAGTCGCTGCGTGCCCTCCAGGAGATGCAGCAGGCGGGCACCACCATCTACAAGCTCGACGACATGGAGTTTGGTCGCCGCCTCGCCGTCGAGCGCGACCTCGACGCCGGCGCCAAGAGCGGCGCAGAGAGCGCGGCCGACAACGCCACGGGGCTGGCCACCAGCAACGTCGTCTTTGACGAGAGCGGCCACTTTTTGTGCTACGGCACGGCCATCGGTATCAAGAGTGAGTGGGAGCGGTGCCATTGCGCGGCCGCAGAGGGGGGAAAGAAGGAGGAGGAGGAGGAGGAGCAGAGGGATGCGACTGCACGAGGCGCCAGCTGCTGAAGATGACGATTGTCTGCCTTCCGCGCGCCGCCAGTCGTCAATACCGTGACCAACAAGGTCTCGCGCCTGCTCGGCAAGGACGAGACGATGCGGTTCCTCAACGTCAGCCTGTACCAGGGCGCGCCGTCCAAGAAGGTGGTGACGAGCATTGTGAGTTGCCTGCCGTGGTGGTGCCTACTCCTGGTGGCCTGCAGGAGACTGCCTGTGGCTTCTGCTCCCGACGACGGCCCGGCTCGCCTTCTGACACCGCCCGTGTTTCGACTGGTCCGACGACGTTCCTGGCATCGTCTGGTGTCCGACAGGCCCTGGCAGCGTCCGACAACCCGCTGCTTTCAAACCAGACGCTGGTGGACCCGACGCTGTTTGCGACGGCGCACAAGCGGTCGCGCTTCTACCTCTTTACGCGGCTCGAGCCGTCCGAGGGCCAGGAGCGGGACGTGTTCAACGAGCGGCCGACGCGCGAGGAGCAGACGATCGCGGCGGCCTCTTCCCTCACGTCTGGCAAAAAGGCGGGCGCCCTATCGCGCACCGCGACGCTGCACACGACCATGGGCGACATTTCGCTGCGCCTCTTTCCGGACCAATGTCCTCGGACCGTGGAAAACTTTGTCGGACTCAGCCGCAAGGGCTACTACGACGGCGTCATCTTTCACCGCGTTATCCGCAAATTCATGATCCAGACGGGCGATCCGCTGGGCGATGGCACGGGCGGCACGTCGCTGTGGGGCGGCGAGTTTGAAGACGAGATCCGCACAAAGGAAGGGCTCAAGCACGATCGGCCGTACACGCTCAGCATGGCCAATGCCGGCAAGAACACCAACGGCAGCCAGTTTTTCATCACTACCGTCGAGGCGCCGTGGTTGGATGGCAAACATACCGTCTTTGGCAGGGTAGAGGCCGGCCTGGACGTCGTCGGCCGCATCGAGAATGCTCGCGTGGACAAGAACGATAAGCCCAGGTGAGTCGACGGCGCCCTCGGCTCGTGCCCCGTCTCCGATGCTGTCTCGTTTGCTGGGTCGTCGTTTGCTCATCCTTCGTCGCTTCGTCTCATTCCATGTGGCCCCCTCCGTGCGCCGCCCTGCTCTCCTCTTCTTCCTCTCCCACTCGCCAGGGACGAGATCAAGATCATCAACGTCACCCTCCACTGAAACGCTCGAGTCTCGCCGCCGCTCGAGCACACACAACGCACGGCACCCTAGCGCCGTCGACGGGCCGACGACGGATCCATCGTGCTCGGAACAGAATCGTAATAAAAGCGGAGGGCCCGCACGGCGCCGTGCCGTGCCGCGTCGCATCTCGTCTCGTCTACCGTGCCGTGTCATATTACCATGGGCCACCAGGGCCTTCGTCGCCCTCTTCGCTGCCGCCTTTCCATTCCTGTTTTCATCGTCGCCCTCCGCGACACGACGCGGGCCCGCTCCTTCCATGTCGGATGGACGAGGTTGGGCCCGGCGAGGGAGGCATCACGTCCGCAGCGCGCTCTAGTCGTCGATCAGCGCATCGCTGGCCTCGATCGTCCGGCTCCAACTTCGGCGCCTGTCCTTCCTGTCATTGGCAGGGCGACGGAGGGAGGATGGAGACGCAATTCGGTGGGTTAGCGAGGCGGCTCGACCACGGCCACGATTGACGTCGATGTCGCCGATGCTCGTGGCCAGCGCTTGCGACACAAGCCCCGAGGGCGCTCGTCCAAACTCGCCGAGTCAACTCACTCACTTGTCGTCGCCCGTGGCAGGTGCCAGGTCCATGCTCTCGCGCTTGCTCGCCCCGCCACTGCCGGTGCTGCCGTTGGAAAAGTTGCCCGACAGCCGTGCGCTCCGGGCGCCGGCCGGTCGAGGGCCGCGCACGATGCCTCCGCCCGAGCCCTTGAGGCTGCCGCCGCTGGCAAACTGACGCGACAGGCGCGCCACGTTGGACAGTGGCCTGTCTTCGTCCTCCTCCTCTTGCCTCTGCGTTGCCGCAGCAGCAGCAGACGTCGGTGAGTCGTCGCTGCTCGCGCCGGAGGCGAACACGCGCTGGGCCAACGGCGTCGGGGCGGCCTCGTCGTCAGCCTGCTTCTCGGCCGTCACGTCCAGGTTTGACGTGTCGATGGCTGGCGCCGCGGGCGGCAGCACCGCGGGCTCGACGGCGGCGGCATCGATCTCCTCGGACGGCGTCGCGAACGCCTCGTGGGGCTCCTCGACGATCGGCTCCGTCTTGGTCGGGACGGCCGGCGTCTCGTCCTTGACCGGCGGCTTCGGAGCAGCAGCCGCGCCCGCTCCCGCCCCTCCGCCGCGCTCGCCAAACTGCTCTGCCAGACGCTTGGCACCCTCCTGCAGATCCCTGCCGATGGAGCTACGCGAGATGCGCTGGTCAACGGGCTTGGTTCGCTTCCGGATCGGCACCTTGCGCTGTCCGCCTGTCACGGCGCTCGAGATGCCGTTGGCTGGCGCATCTCCGTTGGCAGCGGCGATGCCGTTGCCCGCGGCCGACGGATGCTCGCTGAGCTTCTTTTCGAGGAGCGCGGGGAAGATGGCCTCGTAGTGCTGCACGAGGTCCATGACCAGCAGCGTCGGGTGACGAGCAGAGATGGTGTAGGGCGTCTCGGCGCGCGGTCGGATAAAGGCGCGACCGAGGGCGAGGCCGACCTTGTTGAGGTAGACGAGGTCGCTCTCGTCGGTCTTGGTGTCCTTGAGGAGCCCATGGAGGTGCTTGGCGATGGCGTCGAGGCAGGCCAGGTGGAGCTTGGGCAACTTTCCAAGAACGACGCCCAGGTCCTCGAGCACGCCTCGGCGGATCTTTTCCTCGGTCGCCAGATCCACCTTGAGCGGTCCGCTTGCAGCCGCGCCCTTGCCCTTACCCTTGTCTTGGGCTTCTGCCGTTCCAGCATCCTTTGCGGCTCCTGCTTCGGCGGCTCCGTCCGGCTGCTGCTGCTGCTGCAGTTCGGCGGCCTTCTGCCTGGCGAGCGCCTCGAGCGCCTCTCTCTCCTGGCCGGCGGCGGCGCGGTAGATGGCGTCGACCTGGTCCCACAGCTCGTCGAGCACCAGGCTCCTTTCGAGCTCGAGCATCCACAGCTTGACGCAGGCGGCCAGCACCGGCGGGTCGTAGGCGTCGAGCATCTTGTCCGAGATCAGGCCGGACGCGGGCGTCGCGTCGCCGGCATCGTCTCGGCCCTGGGCGTTGGCGCGGTCGCGGTTGCCGTAGATCATGTCGGCATGCGACGGCGAGAGCTGCGAGATGAGGGCATCGCGCAGCCGGTGCGTGACGTTTAGCGGCACCTCGTAGACCCACGTCTTGCGCTTCTCCTGGCTCCGGATGAGCAGGACCGAGCTCTCATCGAGTCCGTCGGTGCCTGCCTCCGATCCTCCCACGGCCCCGACTCCAGTGGCTTTGGAGCTGGCAGCGGCGGCGGCAAGCGCGCTCGGCCACCTCTGGTCGTCGGCATAGGCCCGCTCCAGGGCGGCCAGCAGAGCCTCGAGGACGGGCGGCAGCGTGGCAAGCTTGCCCGTCGACGAGGCGATGGCATCGACGCCCTCCCTCTCCATCCTGTCGAGGAAGTCGAGCCTCTCGACGAGGACGAGGTCGAGGCCGAAGCCTCCGTTCTTGGTCATCCAGCCGGCGGCCTGGCCCTGGCCGGGGGCGCTGCGGCCGAGCGAGATCTCGTCGTGGTAGTAGGGCTGGAAGCGTTCGATGGCCGGCTGGAAGGGGCCGGTGCGGGCGTCGCGGATGAGGGCCCTGAGCTCGAGATCCGGCTGGAGGCTCTCGTGCAGCTGGACGCATCGCGCGATGGACTGGTTGAGCGCCGGCACGCCTCCCGAGAGGGCGGTGTTGTACGACGCCAGGACCGCCTTGACAGCCTTGATGCGGTCGGCCTCCCACTTCTGGGCGAGGCCAAAGTGCTCGTAGAGGATCTCTTCGACCTGGCACCGGGTGCGGTCGAGGTTGCGCACCGCCTCCTCGTAGACGCGCTCGGCATTGTCGGCGTCCCTGCGCAGCCGGATGTGCTTTGGCTCGTTGGACACGACACCGCCCACGGCCGCCTTGAGCGGCGTCGGCATCCTCTCGACGGCCGAGTGAAGGTAGGCGCCGATGGTGCCGGATCGCTTAAGACCCGCGCCGAGCGAGCCGTTTCCAGCCTCGCTCGAGGCTGAGGGCGAGATGGCAGGAGCGGGGCGAGCGTCTTCTTCGGACGCCGCGGTCCTGCCGTCGGTCTCGCTGGGCGGCGTGGGCAGCTTGACGCCAGCAAACTCCTTTGCCGCTGGCGGCTGCGAGCTGCCCGAGACGACGCGGTTGTTGAAGCCGAACTGCTTGCGCAGCGTCTCCCTGCGCTTGAGGCGCTCCGGATCGGCCGGCTCGGCAGTGGCAGCGGCAGCGGCAGCGTCTCCGTCGTCCTTCTCTGGCAGCTCTGGCAGCGACGCGGCGCTGCTGCTCGAGACGGAGCGCTGCGGCTGAGCCGTCTCGTGGCTGCTGTCGTCGTTGGGTGCGAAGCGTGCGTCGTCCTCGGCCTCGTCGGCCTGCCGACACTTCTTCTCGTAGCTCTGCTTGAGCTTGTCCACCTCGGCCTTCTGCCTCTCGAAGCGGGCAAGGGCTGCATCGATGTGGGCCCAGCTCGAGGTGACGCGCTCCCGGTGGTGGACGGACCACTTTGTGAAGGGGTCCAGGATGAGGCGCTCGAGGTTGCGCGCAATCTTGCCGTGGGCGTTGGCCTGGGCCGACGTCGTCTCGGCCTGCACCAGGCGGAAGACGTGCGAAGAGCCCGTCTCGTTGGAGAGGAAGCCACGGGCCGAGCCGCCGCCGCCGACGCCGCCGCCGCTTCCGCCGAGCGGACCACCGGGTTCACCGCCAAGCACGGGCGAGCCAATGACTTCGGACAGGAGCCCGCCAGCCTGCTTGAACAGGGGCGCGGCAAAGCTGGGCTGGGGAGCCGGCGTGGCCAGCGCCTCGGCGTGCTTGTACTCGAGCTCGGCACGATGGGCGACAAAGGCGAGGATCGAGTCGGCCTCGTCTATGCCCGCCTGGAGCCGGGCATAGAGGCTCTGGGCTCCCCTCCGGTACGAGGGATAGGACCAGAACGAGTTCTGGAACGAGGGCGGGTAGACGACCGTCAGCGCCGAGGGAGCGCTCATGCTGGGCAGACGGCCGGTGCAGAGGCTCCGCGCTGGCCACTTTCAAGCGGTTGGGTCGTTGTGGAAGGGATCAAGGTGCGAAGGAGATGGCGAGCTGGCTGGTCACCTGCCGGAATCGGCTCGGTCCGACCCTGCTCTGGTCTAAGGTCGGTCGGCCTGGTCGAGGGCGGCTCTCTAAATGCGGCCGCGGGCGGTCCGATGGTGGGAAGACGGTGCAGTCGTCGCTGTGCGTCGTCCAGGGACGGTGGCGCTAGATAGGGTGGTGATGGTGTCGATGGATCAAGCCAGGGATGGGCTCAAGATTGGGATCCAGGAGGTCGTACGCTGCCCCCCCGCCCTCCCCGGTCCGAAGAGACCAACACACGCAGGCGAGGCCACGCTGGGCCTTGCCAGACCAGCAGGCCGCCCGCGCTTTGCACGATTCGAGGCTGTGCTCACGCCCGAGGTGCGCCTGCCTTCCCGCGTGCATTTCTTGCTCCGCCTCCTCTTCCTCTGGCCCACCAGCCACGCTGCACGTCGCTGCCACTCCGCCGACGTCAGGCAGCGGCGCCTCGACAGGCCACGGCAGCAACCACCAGCAGCAGCACCCTCATTTCGCACCTCTCGCTGGCCCGCCGGCCGGCCCCGCATCCAGCGCAACCCCCCCTCGAAAATAGCCAGCGGCGGGGCAGGCCACCTCTCTCTCGGCCTCTGCACACCCCTGAGACGGCGCCCGAACTTGGGCGCAGCGGACGTCTTCGAGTCCGCCTTGCCTGCTGGAAGAGGGGCGCAACCTCGCCCTTTGCCCGACTCGTTGGCTTGCTCCGCTGGCTGGGGCTAAGGCCGAGGGGCCGAGCTTCAAGGATCCATGCGAGAACGCAGCAGGCGAAGGATGGCCCAGCGAGCAGCTGGTCGCGAGTGATCTGTGCGAGGCGGGCATCCTTCGCAGCGTCTCGCACGAGAGGCATGGCAGGCCCCAAGACACGCCAAGCGAACCAGGCCCGGCCAGGCCAAGCAGGCAGGACAGGCAGGACAGGCAGTGGAGGGACCGTGCGCGGCCAGGCCAGAGCCGGGACGTGAGCCGGCCAGCCGGTGCGGCCTTAACGACACGACGCCCCGGCTAAGCGGGAAATGCGGGGAGGTCAGAAGACCAAAGCGGGGCATCCTGGGCGGCAGGCCTACCGGTGGTAGCCGGGCGAGCATGGCGTGGCGGCACCTGGCCTGGCCCACCTCCAGCGCCGACCTTGGATGTCGTGTGCTTTCCCCGCCGCTGGCGTTGGAGGCAGAGCCAGAGCGGGTCGCTGTCCGAGTTTGCCTCCGCCCCATCACCACCACCTCCTCCTCGCTGTCCATCCACTCTCCTCGTCTTCGGCTCTTCTCCTGCCCTCTCCCAGCCTAATCTGCTCCCATCACCTCTCCCGCCACACGAGCCGACCCACTGTCACCATGTCGGCACCCACCACGATGAAGGCCGTCGTCATCCAGGGCCCTGAAAAGGTCGCCGTCCTGGACAGACCCATCCCACGGGCAAAGGCCGGCGAGGTGGTGGTCAAGGTCGACCTGGCCGCCCTCTGCGGCTCGGACCTCCAGTGAGTCAGAGGATCAGAGAGATGGGGGCAAGCAAGACTGTGCGGCGGCCCACTAGCTGTCCCGCTGACTGCCCTTGCTTTGCTTTGCCCGACACGCCTGACGTTTCATCAATCTTCCGCAGCATCTACCGTGGACAGTGAGTCGTCGGACGCAGCAGTACGGACGACGCAGGCCATGCCCGCTGACTGGGCTGATGTCACCTCCTCTGCGCCTCGTGCCCGACAGCCAACCCGTCCCGCACTACGACTTCGTCCTGGGCCACGAGTTCATCGGAGAGGTGCACGAAGTCGGCGAAGGTGTCAAGAACTTCAAGAAGGGAGACGGCGTCCTCTCGCCCTTCACCATCTCCTGGTGAGCGTCTACGGGCCGAGAGGTAGGGGCTGTCCACTCGATCGTCCGCCATGTTCTGGACTGACAACGAAACGTACTCCCTCGCTTCGCCTCGCCTCACCTCGCCTCACCCGAAATGACGCCCCCCCTTCCCGCCTGTCACAGCGGCGACTGCTTCTTCTGCAACCGCGACCAGACGGGACGCTGCACCCAGTCCCGGGTGTTCGGATCGGTCCCCCTGGACGGCGCCCAGGCCGAGTACGTCCTTGTGCCCCTCGCAGACACGACCCTCTACCACCTGCCCAAGGATGTGCCGCCCGAGATCATGCTGCTCTGCGCCGACATCTTCCCCACCGGCTACTTTGTCGCCAACAACGCCTACACCATGCTGAATGAGAAGGAGCGAAAGGTGAGCCGCGCTTCGAGGCCGCTGGCTGCGCAACGAAACTCGCATCGCTTATGCCCATCATCTCCTTGACTACCCTTGCGTCCTCGCATCTCTGCGCCGCCCTGAGCGTAGCAAGACAACGTCGCCGTGGTGATCGGCTGCGGCCCTGTCGGCCTGTGCGCCGTGACGGCGGCCAAGTCGTTCTTCAAGACCGTCTACGCCGTTGACTCGATTCCCGACCGTCTGGACGAGGCCAAGAAGCACGGCGCCATCCCGCTCCACCTCGAGAACGACGACGTGGTGCAGATCATCAAGGACGCGACCGACGGCCGTGGCGCCGACGTCGCGTGCGAAGTGGTCGGCGTGAGCGCGGCGCTCGAGCTCGCCGTCAAGGTCGTCCGCAACTTTGGCGTCATCTCGAGCTGTGGCATTCACACCCACGAGGTCAAGTTTGCCGGCCTGGATCTCTACAGTGAGTCGCCGTCGGGGAGACGCGCTGTTGTGATGCGCCTCCTATCTGTCTGGCGGGAAATGGCGACTGACGATGCTGCATCTTGCCATCTTCTCTGCACCCTGTCTGACCCACGCTGCAGACAAGAACCGTGAGTGGCCACGGCGGCGTCTCGGTGTCGATCCGGCCGCGCTCCGCCTCGTTCGCTGACGCCCTTCCCTTCCCCCGGGTCCTGGGCAATCCGATCAAACATCGCCGCCTCAGTCCGCTTCCAGTTCGGCCGATGCCCCGTCCGCGCCGTCTTCGACGTAAGTTCCAAGGCCGATGGCACCACCGCTCGGCGTCTCTGCGTCGAGCTGGGCCCCTCTGACCCGACGTTCCCTGCCCCGACCTGTCCCGTCGGTCCTCGGCCGGTCTGTACAGCCTGCCATCAAGCTCCTGTCGCAGCACCACGACCTCTTTGGCAAGTTTATCCAGCACACGCGACCCATCGAGGATGCACCCGAGTACTACAAGCTCTTCAACGACCGCAAGGGTGAGTGGCGACGCAGCGCGGAGCCCCGCTGCGCTGTGTACACGTCCCTCTCTCTGGATGCCTGGACTGACCGGCATCCACCTGCATTGTCCCCGCTGAACCTGGCTACCAACGTCGGCCTCCAACAGTCCTCAAGACGGTCTTCAAGATGAACCATGCCGCCTGAGGCTGTCATCGACGCTGTTGAAGTCGAGTGAGCCCCAATGCACCCTCCATGTGTCTGAGCGAGTGCGGTGTGAACGCAGCCGCTCTGATGCGCCTGCGCCTGCGCCCCCGGTGATTCATGGGCTGGCTTGGCTGCCCTCTGCCCCGAGCAGGACGGGGAAAGCGAGCGCGGAAGGTAAGTCGCGATTCGCAGCGCGGGCGGGGCAGGCGTCGTCGTCGATTCATGGTTCTTCCATTGTCAGAGGGACCGGAGCGAGGCGGTATAGAGGGGCATAGGTACAGAAGGGGGTGGGGGCGGGGGGCCGCCAGGGAAGGGAGCGACACGAGGGTGGGCTGGTCAAGAAGCGTGGGAGAGGGACGATGAGGGGATGGGGCCTAGAGTACAAGAGGGGAGGGAGACAGACGAGGTATGCAGGAGGCAGAGACGGGCAGGGACAGGGACGGCGGCAGCCGATGCCGACAGGGGCTCAGCCGGAGCACATGGTGCAGGCGTCCTTGTTTTCGAGGCTGCAGAGCATCTGGTCCGCCTCGAGCTGGCGGAGCTTCTGCCTCTCGAGGGCGGCGGCGAAGCCCGGGTCGACCTCCTTGCCGTCCTGGGTGGCGGCGCTGGCCAGCTTGGCCGTCTTCTGCTGCTCCTGCTCGGCCACGAGCTTGGCCTCGCGGATGGCCTGCGCCTCGTCGGCCTTCTTCTTGGCCGCGTCCTGACGACTCGCCAAGGCACGACGAGGGGACTAGG